TTTATTTTATTTAAATATTAATATCTCGTGATCTAGCGATCAGAATCGGATGATTTTACCACCATTCGATTCGTCTCGATAATGCGAATCGAATGGTAGTTAAACTATCCGATTCTGATCACTGGATCACAAGATATCACGTGTGCGTCATAATTGGTACTGCGTCATAATACCCCCTTTACCTTATGTACGCAATGAATTAGCACATTGCAGAGTGCAACGCATACATTTATTCATATTAATATATACAATTTATTTTAAGTTATTTCTAAATAATTTTTAAAATCTTCCAAATTTTCATATATTTCGTTCATACTTTGCTTTATATTTCGCTTCATATTTTGCCTCATTTTGCTTTATATTTCGTTTTATACTTTGGTTTACATTTCGCTTTATATTTCGCTTCATACTTTGCTTTATATTTCATTTCATAATTTTGTTTCATCCTTTGTTTTATATTTTGCTCCATATTTCGCTTCACATTTTGCTTTATATTTCTCTTTATATAAAAAATAAAAATAATAATAATAATAATAATAATGCAAATCAATTCATTTATTTGTCTGATTTACCTACTCCATTCAAAATATACTTCTATCCAATAATTCTTATAAAATAAAAAATTATATTGAACTTGAGCCAATAGTTAAATCTGAAAAAATAAATATTAGACAGCTTAATTTGGGATCTTAACAGCTAAGAGGTGCCTTAATTGGCTAAGCGAGTTCAGGCAATAAGAAAGAACATGAAAAAGCCGAATCTTTATCATCGGGCAAACTGGCTGCTTATCTCTATCAACGAAATTTTACCATAAAAACTGAATCAATATGAAGTGGGGCAAAAATTCGAGTACTACTGGCGTCAATCCAATGAAAGAACTTAAAAAAAAAAAAAAAAAAAGGTATAATTTAAGAACATTAACACATGCAACAAAATTAATAATAATATAAAGTTTTTAAACGTTCATAATGTATACATATTATTAGTGTTATAATATTTGCGTGAAGTATATAATTAATTAAAAGAAGTATACAAATTAACTGTGTGCTAAATCAGACATTCATTCTCGTGATCATCCGGAACGCAGCCTGGTACACATTTTCGATTTGCTTATCAAAAAAGTTATCGTTATCGTTATGACTTCATAACATACCAAATTTGGTAATTACAATAAAATCGAGGCTTGAAACATGACTTCATAACATACCAAATTGGTAATTACAATAAAATTGAGGCTTGAAACAGGTATGTATTGTATATACACCATACGGACTATGAATTTCAATTGGAGCAACCATTATTTTCCTTATCTTTTTATCTTCTTATCTCCGGTGAAACATAATTGATTTTGCGAATCATCTTAATAGATTAACCCACATGCAAAATTCAATCTAAAAACAAATAAACAAAGACCATAAAATTGGGTTAAATTTTGTAAATGTTTGTGACCTAATTTTTGTCTATGTAACATTAAAATATCAGCAAAATTGTATAAACATGTGTTATATTTGTTATATTTGTTATTGTATATTGTTCCCATACGGCTTTATAAAATTTTTACACTATTAGTATATTATATTTGAAACAAATTAATAATAAAGCCTAAATCATGATACCTAAGTAAACTCCTTTATTTATTATGTGTTGCTGTGAAAGAATGAAAAAACATTCTTACAGAAACATTGTAGTATGGATCATCAAGCAGTATTCAGTATTAAAGCTAAATATCACATGAAGTGCTAAATTAAATGTTATTAATTTGAACATATATATTTTGCAACCTTCTAACTGAATTCTATATTCATTAAATCACAGTGATCTCTAGTTTACGGCAAATTATGATCACTAATTAACTAAAGATTCAAAAGTCCAGCATTACAATATGTAAGACACTGAGGGATCCTTACAAAATGGAATCCAACTGTTAATTTTTACTTTAGCGGGCACAACCTCAATTACATTGGACATGTAACTTTGTATCTATCATTTTAGGATTTTCAATATTTGTTGTCTTTATATAATTAATTAGACATTATAGACCAGAATACCCAACGCTTTACAAAACGCCATTTCTTCTTTACCAGGTTTTTTTTTGACATTAATGATTATAAATGATCATACACGTGTATTACAATAATAATCATCTGATCACAAATCTTTAGCATTAGTTACAAATATCATTTACGATACATCGGCCATCTCCGCATAGACTATGCTGTACATATATATTTTTACCTTAAAAATGGGTGGATATAAATTTTCCCCAAAAGATTTTTTTACCACGAAAAAAAAACAAAATGAAAACATTTAAGCAGAAGAATATCGTAAATTTGAACAAAAAATCCTCCGGATCTTCTACTAAATCGAGTAGGAAAAAACGTAAATCGTATAAATCAAATGTCAAATCAAATGTTGATTCATTTGGTCCGAACTTAAACGGTGAAAGAAATGATCATGAACCTGATTCTTATCAACAAAATGTTAACTCATTTGACTCGAACTTGGATGATAGAAGAAATACTCATGAACCTGATTCTTATCAACAAAATCTATCACAATATCAATTTACTGCTACATATAATATGCTGATATTCGGAAGTAGTTATTCTTTCGAATCACCGCATGCACTTCCCATGTTACAGGCCGCATCCAATGGATTAAATGAAACTGATGTATTGCAAGATCAATTTATTAATGGTTTTACCTTTTAGTGAACTACATTGCATATTTGTTTATTATTGCATTATTATTTGTTATTTAAAACAGCCTAAAAAAAAAAAAAAAAGAAAAAAATATATATGTCAAAAAAAAAAATTTCTCATTAAATGTTTCATTTCTTACATATAGTCTATTCCTTATTATGTATTATTTTTTCTTTTATATTTATATTTTTTGTTTAGATTTTGATTTTATCATTACTTTTTTTTTCTTTTTGTTAATTATACTTACTATTTTATTTATCATTATATATACGTGCACATAATTGATATCATTTATACTATTTTATTTAATCAAGTTTTCGTGTTGAAACAGTACAGAGAAAAACACTGTACCTTTATTAGTTATTCATACAACAAACATGCCAAATACATGTTGCATGGAATTGGCTTAATAAAATGCAACAAAACTTTGCTCAAAATTTATGGTTAGACATGTCAAAATAAATCATCGCGCATTCCACATGGCAATATGTATACTATAATAAAGTCTTACACTATTTAGCATTTTAGTTTAGTAAAAATTTGCAGTAGACTATTTGCAAAATTTATAAATAAGTTCACATCAGTACAAATATTCTAGAGTAATACAAAATATACGTAAAAAGTGGTTTTAAATAATTAGATGTAATTTTTATTATTGAATCTTGCTTTTACTATTAGAAATGGCACAAACTAATCAACGGTGTAAAGTTTTTCTTTTTATCAACTTATTTGACAATAACTCAATTATCTGATTTATTTATTTCATCATTGCCAGGTTTAAAAAAAATTTAAATAACTACTTATAAATATGAAATCGATAGATAAAAAAATTCAAGTTGATGTTTTGATAAGAACACTTTTGCCAATTATGATCTGTATGTCTATTTGTATAGATTTCATATTGTGGTTCGGTTCTTTTTCAATGAATTGGTAATTAATTAATTAATTGACCCTGCAAATCGTTATCTTGTATTTGTTTTGGTAATAATGGAAATTTCACCCCATGTACACGAATTATTGTATGTATCATAATCATAAAGATAAGGTGAACATCCTTGATCGTGAGATTCACGTATGCATTTTGTTTATTATTGTATCAGTTGATATTGATGATGTATTTGACTAAAGGCCAATGTTCTGTAATATCGAACTTAACATCTATAATTCTATAATTAAAGTAATTAATAATACATGTGATAAAAAAAAAAAAAAACTCATATTTAATTCAACTTACGAATTGCCCTTTAATACAAGGCTGATTATAATTAAACCTCAAGATTTCGAAATAATATTTTTATAGAGCTTCTATAAGCATTTTTTTTTCATTTTTCAGATCCAAGATTATCAAAACAAATGTTTAATTTTCTAATTAAAATTTAATGCCTTTATTATTTTGTCATGAATAGTCTCATAAAGACTACAAACTTGAGAGTTTGAAATCAATGAAGATTTTATCACTCAAACAATATTATCATAATCATCATAATCATTTTTTAAATAAATTATATAATGAATAACACGTTTTTCACCATGATACTATAATATTCATCGAGTCTAGAATGGTAAGCCATATTACGAATATCACGTCCTGCTCCATTAAGCCAATATATACACCATTATTATCATAATTATATTGTTTATAAATAGTTAAATTATGATTGAAACGGATAAAAAGAGACAAATAATGGTTTTTGATCATCAACGTTTAATGTCAAAGGTAAATTTTTATAATTCTTTTATCTCTAAAATCGGTTAGTGGTTTACTCCATAATATTGGTACAATATTACTACACCAATGACGATTTACTAGAAGGCATGGAAAAATATTTCCAAAAGACTTTCGTTTGCTATTTCAATTATCTTGAAATTTTGATTTTAATTTTATACATTTCTTACTAAATGTTCTCATCTTTATTTCCCAATTTATGGGTTGGCTATAAAAATCTTATAACTTTCGCAGCCATTTCAAGTGATGACAAAGGAATTGCTTATTATAAGAACCTAAAATGAGAGGCACTTGTAGTATTTTATATTGTTCATATGATTTATAAATCCATTTTAGCATGTCTCCTAAATGGAAATTTGACACAGCAACGATTATTACGTAATATACATTAGGAAAAATATGTATCAAATTAAAAATTTGCTTGTTTTTTGGAAATCTTTTTTAGGCTTCGGCCTTTGTGGTGATTTTTTATAATTTTTTAATTTGATAGACGTCATAGGAGAACATTTGCAATATGTATTATAAAAAATAGAGAAAAAGTTTAAATATTTTGCGAAAAAAAATTTATACTACGTATTATATAAGTACTGTTTATTCCCCGGAACGGTGGGGAATAAAGGTGGTGTTATTCTCTCGTTTTATTAATTGACGGCGGAGGCTATAAGTTGTGCCCAAAAATAACAAAAAAACCACCGGAACCTACAATGGTATAATTATACTAAAATTCCCATCCCTAACCTTAAAAATTCCCATTTACGACATATTGATATATATTATATTTAGGGGCTGGTATTCTTATCCCAGTAAAAATAAACTTTGATCGATGATACCTCGATGAAACATTTCTTATTTGAATTCTAAGAATCTATAAAATTCAAATAAAAAAAAGTTTAATTAAATTTGGTTAGGTGGTTGTCGAGATTAGCGTTGCAAACATAATTATATTAAATACAAAAATAATTTTAATTACTGTTACGGGTGAATTGTACGTTTAATATGTATATGCACGAAAAAATATAAGATTTTAGGTGATAGAGCAGCTCGCCAAAGGCGTGCCATTGGTGATTTGACAATAATTTATTTTTAAAAGATTTATCAAGGTGATTTATTCAATGTAATATATGAGTTATATTAGAATCCCATAGGATAGGATTTTACATGAGAGAAAATTACAGGGTTTTTATAACTTTGACTACACTAATGAATTCAAGAGGCTTATGAATTAATTTGATCTTTCATCATGAGGAATCAAGGAGAAAGATCACTATAACTAAGGGGCTTACAATGATAAGTACAACATGATAATAACGAAGGCTTTGCTTTTACAATATTTTATATTGTAACTACTTCTAATTATTTCTTGATTCTTGGTTTCTTCTCTTTAGATTTCTTGAATTTCAGTCTTTTCTTTTTACACACTCAGGTTCTTTGGATTTCGCGTTGGTTATAAGGCTAATTCGGCCAAGGAGTTATTCTTAATCTAAGCCTTACAGCTGTTTTCATAAATTCTGGGACACCCTAAAAAAATTTGCCAAAGTCTATTTGGCCAAAGTCGATAAGTTAGTGATTTCGGGAATAATAAGATTCAGTAGCAGATAATATCACGTAATTTAATAAGATAAGGTAACTAATATATATTACACTATAGCAGTAAGATTAAAATCGATATTCTTTGAAATGATCTATTTTCGCTCAAATGAAGCCTTTATTCATTTCTCAATGAAAACTCATTTTTAAAAAATTATGTAAAATTTCAATTCCTATTCTTTGGAAAAATCCATTTTCGCTCAAACGAAGCCTTTATTCATTTTTAATGATTTTTCGACGAAAATTCAGTTTTAAAAAATTGTGCAAAATTTAAATTACTATTCTTTGGCAAGATCCATTTTCATTCAAATGAAGCCTTTATTTATTTCTAATTAATTTTTCAACGAAATTTTTGTTTTTAAAAAAGAGAATTGCTAATCTTAACTGGTAATAAAAATACCGGTAGTGTATTTAGTAGTGCTATATCTCAAAAATGTACTAAGTAAACAGTATTAAATGCTCTAAGTAAAAATGTCCAGGACCCATGAAAACCTTATAAAAACTAAGGTTGGGACCTTATATTAGATCTATATAATATTATATAAAAAAAATAATTATATATAAAAAAAAAAATAAATCTTAATACTCTAACTCTAACCCTAAAAATAGGGATTATATATATGTACCCAAAGGTACATATACCTGTATCATGTGATCTATAGATTGCAACTAAAATTCAAGATCAGGTGTAATATTACACAATTAGGAAAATTCAAAACAAATGTTCGTTTTACAAAAATTGCTCATTTTGCAAGAAATTGCATACTAAACCACCTTCTGTGTATTAATAAAAAGTTTTTCTTGAACAATTTTACTATATAATAGCCTAAACCCTAACTCTAACATAGTTATTACCCTAACTCTAATCTAAACAATATCAGTATTACTAGTTTTTTATATAATATCATATGATTAAAATAATGAGTACAAAAAAATTTAATGTACCCTACGAATATAATTATATTAACTTCTAAAAATAAATAGGGCCGGTAAATTTACCGGTGGTTAAATGTAGTTATTTTCTTTAAAAAATTAAGTAAAATTTCAATTAATATTCTTTGGCAAGTTCTATTTTCATTCAAGCGAAGCTTTTATTCATTTTTAATTATTTTTTGATGAAATTTTGTTTTTAAAAATTGTGTAAAATTTCAAATTCTATTCTTTGACAGATCCATTTTCATTCAAACAAAGCCTTTATTTATTTCTAACTATTTTTTGATGAAAATTAGTTTTTAAAAAATTGTATAAAACTTCAATTCCTATTCTTTGGCAAGATCCATTTTCGT